AATCAATGCATAATTCATATAAAGAAAACTTACGCAAAGATTATAAATCATTGTTTGGTCTGAAAGAGTGAAAGGATATTAAATGGCATCGATATAGATATCGATCGACAGTCTATTACCGTTATTCTGGGACTCAAACCCTCGGCTGCGATGGACCTTTAAGATCCAAAGACAGGTCTGAGATCTGATCATTAATATGAGAAATAATGGGAAAAACAGTTTTGATTACTTCTCACGGCTTCGAAGAAGCGAACCTATTGTCTGACATGATATGAATTATATCTAAAGGTATCGTATGTTTCAATGGATCCATTCTTCAGATGAAACGTGAATTCAATTTTGAATATTATTTGAAAATCAATAAAAATATTGAAATGCAAACCAAAAACATAATTACAAAAACAATTGAAAAATGCACTAAAATTAAAAACGTTGCTAAAAATAATTTGAAAATCTTTGGGAATGTCAACACTCGAAGGTTTTTACGACCAGATTGTGACCAAAAGTGATGATAATTTAGACAATCATACATTACGTGATAACAATCTAAACATCGGTGACAACAATGACATACTATTAGATAATGCAATGAATTTCGAAACAAAATACAACTCACCAATTAAACTAGTTTTACGCTAAATGCACAAAATATTCTGTAAACGTATTCATTATAGCGCCAAACATTTTACCCTGATAATACTGCCCATAATTACCATTATCATACTATTCGCTGTTGTTTATGGTTTCTTATATTTTCTCATCATGCTCTTGTCTGCGCCGACATCGCATTTAAATAGTGCTACCATTTATGGCAATGAAATGGAAGCATTTTTCATCACAAATGACACACAATTAGCTAACAGTTATTCACAAGTGTTAAGAGATAATGACATCAAAGAGATATCACTGGGAAGTGATTCACATAAAAACATTAGCAAATCGCTCGCCGATTATGGCCACACAAATCGTCTCAACTATGTTCAAAACTTATTGTACGGCATATCGACCGACATTACCGATAATAATACCCCGATTATAAACGTATGGCACAATTACATTGGCGTTCACTCGCTGCCCATAACATTGAATCTAATAACAAACTCGCTGTTAAAACAATTATCAAATGTCAATAAACTTAAAATTAGTGTCACTAACGATGCCTTTACTGAGCATTTTGAGGGAAACACTGAACAGAGATAATTATGGCGCAGAAATATCATCGAGGACATTATCATTGGCATCAATAATTATATATTTCTCTGTGTTTTCTTTCACAACCGCTGCCTATATATTACAGCCAATGACTGAATGGAAAATTAAATTTAAATTAATTCAATTCATGTCGGGATTGAATCCAATAGTTTATTGGACGGCAAAATTGACCTTTGACTTAACGGTGCACTCATTGTGTTCAGGCATCTATGTGTTGGTCTACCATATCAATGACACAAACGGATATTTCATATAATCAATGCCATCAATACTATCTCTATATGTGCTGTACCTGTCCTATGATCTGGCGTTCATACCATTCGCATACTTGATATCATTTATGTTCACAAAGCCATCAACGGGTTTCACATTCATCGCAATGTATAACACAATCGCCGGTTGTGTTTCACTCGCCCATCAAAACTATTTATACAACTGATATATGAATTAACATTATTTAAAAAAAAAAACATTATTAAAATGTTTTCACCCGTAGACTCCGAGTTGACCGCATTCCTGACACCCGTCGCACCGTTTGTTCATTCAATTGTGTATTTAAATCAAATACAGTCTCGCAATACGTATTGTCCACTTCTGGACCAAATGGATGCTAACAAAACCTATTGTCTTACGGAAGATGACAGACATCGGAGTAAATACGATACCGTGTCGACCGGAGTGTAACTCCACGTGCATTACCAATGAAATTCTGCGCCTATCGGCCCATATGAAATAAATGCTCTCATTGTTATGAGTGAGAATAAGTGCCACAAAAGTGTAATAATGAAAAATATGTGCAAAACATTTTCCGTAAAACGAGTCAATAATAACGATATAAGTATTGAATTACAAGAATCCATAGAAAGTCCAGAATTACGGCTCAAATACGAAAATGTTTCACAACTCATAAGAAATGAAAACTTTGAAAGCGTTCCACTAATTGTTCACAAACTGACTACAAATTTCCATAAAAAGACAATAATTCCCGGAAAGTTGTTTTTTGGTGAACAAAGAGGAATGTTTTGGATTCTTGGGAATCAATGGTTCGGGAAAGACATCAACCTTTCGGTTACTGACCGGAGATCTGGACTCAGATGAGGGAAACGCATACTTGGGTTAAGAGAAAGACAAACTCTGGTTTTCTTTGCCTGAATACGTGATACCCAACAAAAACTCATCAGGCACTCATTACAAAGATTAAAATTAAAACAGATGAATAATTAGTGAAACATTTATAAATTAATTTAATTGTGTGCATCCTGAATACAATTAATAAGTTTGTTTTAAGCGATTGAATGCATAAATTATAATCAGTTTTAAATCATCAATATAAAGTGATAAATAGAAATTTACGAAAAATTGATAAGTTTAAAATGTATTTTATGTTTAATGTTAATTGTGTCAAGTATTTAATGTCTGTGTAAGTAATAGAATAACTCTCATTATATCAAAAAATTGTAGAATTGTTTATTATTTCGTATATGGGATATAAGAAAGAAAAGCTTATCTTAACTGGCCATTAAGATAATGAATTAAAAAAGTTAGTCTATAAATTATCCAGACTAGTGAACAGAATCCAATAAAATTAGTAATTAATGTATGTTAAAATGAAAACATATAGTTTTATATATATATAGTTTATTAATAAGATTTGTGTAAGGATGAGAGTTAATAATAGTCATTAAAGTGTTTTATATTGTGTTATTGTAGTTTTTTAGTAATCAATGATAAATCTGTTTGAAACCCCTTGTTACCATAAACAAAAGTATGGGCAAATTGGTAATTTTAAATAGGATTTATTTGTAAGTTAATATTTAACGTGTATTTATATTTGTTAACCAATGTGGAAAACTGTTTAAATTTGTTATATCGTTTTATCAAAACCCCCTGTGTTATAGATAAATTTATATACAGACGGTAATTTTGATAAGTTTTAGTGTACTTATATGTGTCTATTAGTAAATACAATAAATGAACAAAACGAATGAATGTTAAAATGTTTTGTTTTTGTTAAAGTAGAGGATAATCGTTGGTAATATCGACTACCAAGCAAAATAGTCTAATTAATGAATTTGCAAATCAAAGTTTTGAATAAGTACTTCTAATAATTAATTATTAACCATGTGTCGATACATTTATTGATGGCAATCACTAAATGATGGTATTGGTCAGACTCCGACCGATTGAGGACAGAATTCTAATCAAGGCAAGAATCTGCCCGTGTTGACAGCAGTGGACTGTATTTTGAATTTATGTATTACCGAGAATGACGTGGAATTTAGTCACTGCTGGGGTACTTGACAGTCATTGATTTGACTGTTCAAGAGGACCTCACTTGGATGTGGTTTACGTCGACCCAGATTATCTAAGTGGTGGTATATCCTCTCGGCAACGATGGTTAGGGTAATACAATTTATAATTATTTGATATAAGGAGTCAATCGTTGTCCAGGGAAGAGGCCTATTATACGATTTACCCACAAAAGTGGAGATATTAAGCGCGCATATTCATAATTTGAATGAATAATTTATTATGCCTTGAAGTAATATAATTAAATATATAGTTTAAAACATAATAATTGGTACCAAAAATTTAATAAATAATTAATAAAAAAAATCGAACCACTCTACACAAACGATTGGTTGTTCAGATGTGCAAATTAAATGAAGAATTGCACATGAATTAAAGAGTTTAAGATGTCGACTTCATTTATATCCGGATCATTGAGATTACATTGATAGAGCTCACCTGATCAATAATTAGGAATCAATGTGATCCTTAGAATTGGATGTGAAATGATTTAATGTGATTGCGAAATAGTTTGCAAAATTCATATTTTATAAAAAAATTTTAGTACAAATAGATTATTTGTCACATTCGTTTAAATCTATTGTTTTCAAATTATTATATAAAATTTATTAATGTTATTATTATGTTTTCAATTAGTTATCTTTCTATAATTACTGATAAACTTTGTATACTTTAATTACTCTATTAATTTGTAATCCTAGTTATAGTTTATTCTATTATTATAATTATCATAATTCAATTGTTATTTTTAGTTATATTTCTTATATCATACATTTAACCAGATAGATTGTACTGAATATAATCTAATATTTTAAGTTACTGTAATATGAATAATGTTACTATTAATTTGCAATACTACAGTAGATTTGAATAGTATAATCTCTATCATATAACTGTTAATTTTAGTTATAATTTCTATATGTTCCTTAATTATATTGTACTAAATATAACCACAATTATTATAATCAACTTGTCGCACGGAGCGCTCCCCGGTAGCAGTGGACGAATGTAAGTTGGATATACGCAAATGACGGCGGCCAATCATATTTGCATAATCCTGATAAGTTAAGGGCCGCCCAACGCACGAGCAAAGAACGATACGACCCACACCGTAACACTCTTACCCTTCAGATCACTTCGTGTCCCAAACAAATGTAGTCATCTCTCATATATTCAATATCATTATATTCAATAAATATCTATTTTATATTAATTAACTAAATGTGTGCTTTATTTTATGAGTGAGTGTATGATATGAGTGGTGACTTGAATGAGGTATAAGAGTGATCTCCCGAGTGAGCTGTTTCGGGAACGGGACTCCCAAACACCAGCTACAATATTATTATTATGGAAATAATGAATGTATCATATGTTATAAAATTATCGCTTATTATATGTCTATCACTGAATACTATCGATGCGTTAATACGTGTAAAACTGCATAAAATGACATCAATTCGTAATAAAATACATGAAAGTGGTGTCGATATTAATGAAATTATTCCAAAAACACACCATGGTCGTTTAACCAAAAAACTAGCTATTAGTTTATCAAATTATATGAACCAAGATTATTATGGACTCATATCGTTAGGCACTCCACCTCAACAATTCAGAGTATTTACACATTAATTAAAAATTATTAATATTTACAAATATAATTATAAAACTAAATTACCCATAAATTTACCTTAATTTCCAGGTAGTGTTTGATACGGGCAGCTCTGACCTATGGGTGCCGTCACCAAAATGCGGTTCGTGTGCCTGTATTATACACCGGAAATATTATTCAGCAAAATCATCGACTTATGTCAAAAATGACACCAAGTTTTCAATACAGTACGGCATGGGTAGTGCCAAAGGCTTTTTGAGCACCGATACCTTAACCATAGGTGGGCTTAAAGTGGTTAACCAAACTTTTGCCCAGATCACGTCTGAACCTGGTCCGGCCAATGTGCTGGGTGATTTTGACGGTCTAATGGGAATGGCTTTTCAGTCACTTTCAGTGGACAACACAATCACACCGTTTCAAAACATGATAACCCAGGGAGTGGTGTCGGCGCCGGTCTTCTCCTTCTACCTGAACCGAGACGTGAAGGGAAGGCCCGGCGGAGAGCTTATACTCGGCGGCTCCGATCCCGACCACTATTCCGGTCACTTTACGTACGTTCCGGTGACTAATCAAAGCTATTGGCAATTTAAGATGGGTGGTATACGTGTGGATAGTGACCAAGGTGCTTTGTTTTGCCCGAATGGGTGTCAGGCCATTGCCGACACCGGCACCACTTTGATTGTCGGTCCCATACAAGAGACTAATGCTATTAACGCACTGATAGGGGCTACAAATCAGGGCAAAGGCAATTGGGCGGTAAATTGTTCTAGCATAAAAACGTTGCCAACAATTACTGTCATAATTGCTGGAAAATTATTCCCAATTAAAGCCTCACAATATGTTTACACACAAATCGGACCAAACGGTGGGACACAATGTTTGTCTGGTTTTCAGGGTATGAATTATACGGGTACAGGTTTGGCTGAATTATGGATCATGGGCGATGTGTTTATTGGGCCCTATTATACTGAGTTTGATTATGGTAGAAAGAGACTTGGATTTGCGCCTAGTAAATAAATAAATAGTTTTATTAATTATTTTAAAAAATTTTTAACAAAACAGCCTATTATTAAAATTGTATTAATCTTATCCGTCGTCTAGCCCATTTAGTTAAATTTATAAGTAATGTAGTATTATATTATAATTAATAAAAGGCACACACTATCTGACATGTACACGGCATGGCCGGGCAGACGTTGGAGTGTGCCCGGCTTACACGGGCAGACGTTTGACGTACCTGGCTTGCCCGGGCACACTTTTGACATGTGCCCGGCATATCCAGATAAACGATATTAACAACATATAATGTGCTCGGTATATCCGGGACAACTGTATGAACTAAATATCGAATATACTGGGTATACACAATCTGTATTTTCTTTTGTTAAGCAGAACTTATAATTCTTATATATAAAATTTAAATTTACTACTTTAATATTGCCTATGGTTAGAGTATCGGTGCTTTAAAAGCCGGCGACTTTACCGATGCCGTACTGTATTAAAAACTTGGTATCATTTTATATAATTATATAATTGCATTTTATTTTTAAATAATTTATAATGTAATAATATTTTTTTTATTATAAAATGATAAACACATGTAAACACGTTATTACATTTAAATTACATAATACGTTTTATTTAAGGAAACGGCATATTAATAAAATTATATTAATTTTTTCTTTTGTTTAGCCCAATTAGTTAAATTCATAACTATTGTGGTATTAAATCATAATTAATAAATAATATTTCCAGTTTGCTATATATAATACTTTTTGATTTAGTAGTAATAACTTGTTATCTAAATCTAAATCTAAAATATTAATTAACAATTGTGGATTAAAACAATAGGACAAATCAGTGTTATACTTTAGAAACTAGGTTTAATTCCCATCACGGACCATTTGCTCACGATTTGGTTTTTACCGGTTATCAATATATTTATATTATATTGGTTATTTATTAATAAATAAAATTCTTTTATTTTTATTTTGTTTGATATAATATTCATTTTTATTAATATAATTTTGATAATTTCATTTCATATAGAAATATAATTTTAATAAAATTATTAATATTAAATTAAAACAAAATGTTAATCAACAAATCGTGTAATAATTTAACAATATATTATCAGATATTATATACAGATTATAACAACTGTAATTAAACAATTCAATGGAATATTTTATGTATAAATTAATTATTTGTATAAATGTATACATGATCCGAAACACCCATTAATTTGTACTTGGATATTTCACAGTCCAAGTACAAATCGGGAGTTATTGACTGCAACTGTTCCGTTCGTCAATATCTTCAATAACATAAATTAAACATTGGGTAAATAAACTATGATCATATTTTTTTAAATAATGATATAATATTGTAATGTTTCATGTAGAAATATATAATTAAAGTTAATTAAATTTTCTATAATGGTAGACTCTATACGGGTACCGGTTTAGCTGAGATATGGATCATGGGCGATGTGTTTATTGGGTCTTATTATATAGAGTTTGATTTTGGTAGGACTTGGAGACTTGGATTTGCGCCAAGCAAATAAATATTAAATAAATAATTTTATTAGTAAATATGATTTTTGAAAATTAAAGAAAAAACTCATTTTATATAAATATATTTATATCGTATAATTTAAGCCCATTTAATTAAATTTGCAATTACCGTGTTATTTTATTTTAATTAATAAGTAATATTTACAGTTTGTTTATTTTAGTCAATAATTCTATTTTATATTTAAATATAAACTTTATTTTCAATTAAATTATCATTATTAAGTTAAAGCAATAAACCGTATTTATAATAATTAAAATATATATTAATGACAACTTTAATGAAATAATTCCATTCAATATTTAATCTATAAAATAATTATTTTTACAAATATGTACATGATCCGAAATATTCATTGAAATGTGCAAATTGGGATGTATTGGCTGCAACAGTTCAGTTCGCCAATAACTTTAATAAAATAAACCAATTAATGGGCAGATAAATAATGATCATAATTTAATTTTTCTACTGATTTTTATCTATTAATTAAAATTTTATATAATATAAAAATAACCATTCATGTAGAAATGCATAAATACAATTAATTAAATTTATAGTAATGGTAAGAAGCAATTAGGTGGCATTAATTTTATTATCATAATTATTTTAGAGAGAGAGAGAGTGAGATAGATGATATGGTGAGGTATTATTTATTTATAACACCTGTATAATTATATTTATGTGCAAAATTTTATATTCACTCTTACAATAAATAAACATGTTAATTATAGCATTAACAAAAATATAAAACATTTGATTTCAATATCATATTAATTTACAAGAAAACAAGTTGTTTAAAATGCAATTAAAGTAATTAAACGCAATAGTAATTTTATAACTGATAATAATATATTAAATCTAAAGTACTTTTTGACAATTAATTTGTTGTAAAATTTAATAATTTCATTGCATTGAAACAGTATTTATAGTTTGAATTCTGTTATGACGTGAAAAGCGGTGGACAAGTGATCGCCTCAACCAAAGCCATAATCGGCTGTCAATTACGGCGACAATCAATTGCTGGCCATTAGTGCCAAACCAGAGGCCAAAGAGTCCGCCGATGTATGACATGTACGCCGGGAATGACATAATGGGNTGTACGCCGGGAATGACATAATGGGCTCATCTTTATAAACATACATCGGTTGAGTTGAGTCCCAAACGAGTCGGTCCTCTGAATACCAGTCCTCCGGTCTGTCGTCGTTATAAAACACTCTTTGAATGTAATCCTTGTTATCGTTGACAACACGCGAGCGATAATCGATTGCCAGACAATCGGGCGGACAATACGACAGACACTGAAGCGATACCGAAGACTAAGCGACAAAATATATTTAAAAATTTACGATAATTAATACAAATATTTGATTTATATTAAATATGTTAAAGTATTTGAGAATTTAAATTATAAAATATAGTAAATTCATATAACGATGCAATTTTGTTGTATAGCGATAATACAAAATAACATGCGTGATACATGCGCTATTACATTTTTAATACAATATTTCTAATATAAGTAATATGACTTTGGTATAACAGCGATATTTTTTAATCCGGGTCCTTTTTATTCCGTGTGTCTTTATTATTGGATAATATTGTGGGTGTGTATGAATGCTTTTTAGGAGTGTACATAAATAATGTCACCATTTATTATGCCCCCTGTCATATATAATGTCAGAAAAATAGGAATTTAATTGAATATTAAATCAAAGTCTTTATTAAATTGTAAATTAAATCACAATTAAATGAAAATTAAAAAGTATTGGCAAAAATGCTTTCAATGCTTTCAAATTATATGTGCTTTGATTGTGATATACTGTACGTAATGTATGGGTTCAGTCAATGAGGAAGCGGAAAGAGGAGGTACTCACTGAATAAAAAGGACCCGGATTAAAAAATATCGCTGTAATAATTAATGCACAAATTAAATTGTCCTCGTTCAATACTCACTAGGTTCAGTGTGTTGAAGTTAAAAAATAATAAATGATATAATTTGATTGGATGTTTTGTCAAACAGTCTTTATTAATATCAAAATCTAATTGATGAAAATTATTGTCCACACGATATAAACCGCACCAATATTTGGGAGGTTTCTGAACGTAACTCAATCGACACCTTCTCATACAATGGAAGTGAGAGATTGCACCAAACGGTTGTCCACTGCCCGACCCCTCGGCACCGGTCGCCGGGTCTGAGCCGTAGTAACTGCACCGGCCGTACGGCGCGGGTAACAGTTGGCGCGCGGTTTTTGTGACGGCAAACGTGTGGTTAACGGCCGACAGTTCTGTTTCGTCGTTCAGCACGCGATTAATGTCGACAACCAATTGGTGGTTAAGTAATACATACTTCGGGTCCGCGTTCAGCGCTTCACTCCAACGGCGAATGGCCGCAAACTGTTGGCCCGCATTTGCCGACCGGTGCCCTAACCGGTAACCGATGGTTACCATAACGTATATAACTGATTGCAAACCTATATTATACGATACAAGACGTTTTGACAAACGTATATCAATTCCCGGCGATGTATCTAGATCGTTGGCGCCCCCGATGACAACTCGGATAGTACTGTTGGCGAACATAATATCGTAGTCAAATAACTTGATGTCTTCGTGATATATTTGATGGCATTGCGGTGATCGTGGTGATCGCAAACATTGCCTATGATATGTTTTAGAAAGGTGCGGGTTTTGTGTTTGGAACGGATTCGAGACGAGAGTTATATACGGTGTGTGCGGGTCCATTGAGTTGTCCATTATGTCAAATACGGTAACCGTTTTGTACGCAAAATAGTCGACCGACACGTCGTATAACTGATAACCAAGTAGTGCTGCCATCAGACATAAAAATGTCCGCTAAAGGATTTATAAAATTAATCTATCATTAATGTTTAAGGTTATAAAATTATTTCTCAAGTTTATAAAATTATTATATAATTAAATTTAAAATTTGCTTATAATGGGCGCGTAATACATATAACTTATTAAATTAAAAATTACATTTATATCAGTGCAGTGATTGGTTTATTGTAATCGCCATTATCATAATTAGGGGTAGGACTTGCATTTTTTAAATATACATTGTAAAATAACGTCATACATGGGATTTAACCTTAAAAGCATTACTAACAGACACAGGCCTATTAATAATTTTGGTGTAAATACAAGATTAAACTTTAATATATAGTTTTTTTGTACCGAAAATGTACTAAAGTCCCATCCGTAATCATAATATTAATACTATCAATTGGGTGATTAAACATTGTACAAGTACAATTTTACAAGTACATTGTATTTAATATAAGTTTTACAAGTTATATTATTATTTTAATATTAATTGATGTTTGCACATTTTAACTAAATTGTTTTTAATTGGGCAATAGAAACTCGAATGTGGAAACTATTTCAATAATGCTAAATCTATGGACATTTCAGAATTGTGGCTAAGAAATATCATTACAAATGAGCCTTATTTTAAATTGTGGCTACAATATTTAAAATAAAATTATCTTATTATTTATGTATACTGTATATATAAGTAAGATAATTAGTTATATTATTAAGAATAAGTATATAAACGTTTTATATCAAATTGTTCAAATAATTTTATAGATAGACTTTTCACGTTTTTTGGTCAATGAATTACCCGAATATATAGGGGTATGAAAAGCGATGTCCGACCGAATCGACAGCACAGGTGTCGGCGAACGAATGAAAAGGTCCGCAATT